CTGAAAGGGACAGGAGATAACAGTTTGGCCAAGACCACAGAGCCAGGGAATAGCAGAGGAACATTTCACCTGGGCATTGCACTCCAGAGCTGTGCTTCTCACTGTTCTCAACCCCTGGCAAACGCTCACTTGAAAAAAGCCAGGTGGTGATACAAAGGTATTTATTTGTTATATTAGTCTCTACACTTTTCTTTGTGCTTGAAATATAACAACTGCAACAAATAATATGTCAGTATTTAGAGTAATGGGGGATTTGCTTGTGTGTGTGTGTGTGTGTGTGTTTTTTTGAGATGGAGTCTCACTCTGTCGCCCAGGCTGGAGTGCAGTGTCATGATCTCAGCTCACTGCAACCTCCACCTCCTGGGTTCAAGTGATTCTCCTGCCTTGGCCTCCTGAGTAACTGGGAATACAGGTGTGCGCCAGTACGCCTGGCTATTTTTTGCATTTTTAGTAGAGACGGAGTTTCCCCGTGTTGGCCAGGCTGGTCTCAAACTCCTGACCTCAGGTGATCCACCCACCTTGGCCTCCCAAAGTGCTGGATTACAGGCATGAGCCACTGCGCCTGGCCGTTTGTTTTTCTAACAAAATTATTTTCTAACAGAAAGCAATCAGGTGAGAATCCACATAAGAAACAAATTCAGAGATATTTGTTGTATATTTTTAAAAAATGTACCTTCAACTGGGTGTGTTAGCTCACTCCTGTAATCCCAGCACTTTGGGAGGCCAAGGCAGGTAGATCACTTGAGCTCAGGAGTTTGAGATCAGCCTGGCCAATGTGGTGAAACCCCGTCTCTACAAAAAATACAAAAAATTAGCTGCGCGTAGTCCCAGCTACTTTGGGGGCTGAGGTAGGAGGATTGCTTGAACCTAGGAGGTCAAGACAGCAGTGAGCCATGATTGTGGCACTGTACTCCAGCCTGGGCAACAAAGTGAGACCCTGGCACCCTGTCTCAAAACAAAAACATAAACAAAAAAGCACGTCCTTGTAAATAAGTAACACTAAGACTTCATTTAGTACAACTCCATTGTATTTTTATTTTCATTTTCTATGACCAGTAGTTAAGGGAGAGAAGCTTGGTTGCAGAGAATGAAAGGACGATGGGAAAATAAAAGTAGGAGAGAGGAAAATGCAAGAAAGCAGAGATCTGTAGAAAGGGATGAAGGGTTTGTATAGGCAGAGAAAATATGTTCTTTAATTAAGAAATTTCTGTTGTCTCACCATCTGAAATGCCCTCAAAGGTAAGTTATTGCTTTATTTTGAAAAACTAATCATAACTACCTTTGTCCCACGCTGTGTTCAATGCTTTACACACTTTACCTGTTTTAGTCTCACAACACAGTGTTATGATTCGATCTTGCCATTGGTCTCACTTTGCTGAAGAGGAAGTTTGAGGCTCAGAGAGAGTAAGAAACTGGCAGAAGACCACAGTTAGGGAAGACAGATCTCTGATCCAGTTGCAGAGTCTGAGCAATAAACTGCTTCACCTGATTGGTTTCAAAGCACATTTTCTCATTTTACTTGGGGTAATCACAGCAGCTGTCTGAGGCAAAATTATTTCCTGGACTTGCAGCCATGTCACTAAGGAGCAGATGAGGTGAGATCACAGACAGAATCAGAATGATGGCCTGGTGCCAAAAAGATGTGTCCTAGAGATTCTTCATTCCTTTAAGAAGGAGAGGAGGAAGCGATAAGTGACTTAACTTTTCATTTTTCACGTTTTTAGACATCGCAGATTGCAGCAGAGAATATCGGAAGTGAATTACCACCCAGTGCCACTCGATTTAGGCTAGATCTGCTGAAAAACAAAGCAAAGAGATCTTTAACAGAGTCTTTAGAAAGTATTTTGTCCCGGGTAAGTAGCATAATTTCCCCCAATTTAAGTTAAACCACTTTTTAGGAGAGTGTTAGATTGAGTTATATGCTTTTATTCCATCAATGTTCATAAAGGTAAAAGTATAAAACCTTTTTTTAATGTTTTCTGAGGCTTAGAACAATATTGTCTACATTTTAAATTGTTTTTAATTTGACCTAGGTTTAAAAGAATATGTATTCCTTACTCTTTTGTATTATATCCAATGGGATTTTTTTTACCTCCCCAAATAATATTTGTTGACTAGTCCCTATAAAGAGCATGCCTTAGATACACGGAGGTGTGGCTTCTGTTCTCCCTAGTATTACTGTGTATAACTTAAAAAGCAGTTACTGTCAGCTGCTGGTGTTAGGTTTCTAAAAGGCTGTATAGTAGGGGTCAGCAAACATGCCCATTGGTCACATTCCACCCACCTCTACTTTTGTAAAGTTTTATCGAAACACTGCCACATCCATTCATTTATCTGTTATCTAAGGCTTTTGTTTTGCAGACTTCAACAGTTGCCGCAGATACTATATGCCTCACAAAGCATAAGACACTTACTGTCTGTCCCTTTACAGAAAACGTTTACCAAATATAGCTCTATAGAAAGAACAAAGTACACACGTACATCAATCTGGGAGTTCTTTAAGAAATTACACCTCCCTCCCATGAGTGTAAATAGCCTTGATGGCACGTCTGAGAAATCAAATCTGATTTTCCCTCAGAGTTTCACGCCTTTCTGGAGTATGCAGTATCTTCTTATAGTTCTTCTTGATTTTATCGCACACTTCTTTTGAAACATCTGATTTTTATTATTTTTTTAATTAAGGAAAGTTAAATTTTATTTTCTTTGAAGATGTTTCTGAGAATTTTGTAGTATCTTCTCAGATCATGAAAAACAGTTGATTTACAAAACCAGAATTGGGAGGGGCTGCATTTGAGAGCTCCCAAAGGGATAGAGTGCTGTCTGAGTGACAAGCTGCTGGCCATTATGATGACTTGTGACCCAGGGGAGGGAGTTGCTGAGTGGGCTTGCTTGAGCGCTTGATTTTCCTTATAGACGAATTGTCTTGTCTTCCTGCCTGTCACCCCTGCCAAATTACTCAGCCGCCAGGTGTTTTGGAACGTTTAGGTTAGTGTCTTTTTTTTTTTTTTTAAATGATGGAAATGTTGATTATTTTAATGTACATATATCCTTAGTAGCATTTCTCAGTAGATATATTTTTTTCCTCAACTTATTTAAATGGACCAATCTGCTTCTAGCTGATGCCTTTGCAAAAGCCTCCAGGGTCATAACTCGACTGCCTTTTCTTTATGTAGGGTAATAAAGCCAGAGGCCTGCAGGAACACTCCAGCAGTGTGGATCTGGATAGCTCCCTGTCTAGTACATTAAGTAACACCAGCAAAGTAAGCACATTTCTCTTTATATGACACCCTGAAGAAACCAACAAATCGGTCTTGCTCATCTCCTGTCTACATGCCTCCAATAATTTGCTGCTTCCAAATTTCTTGGCACAGGTGGATGACTGGTCATGCAGGTCTATCATAACATAAAAGTTTTACATGAAAGAGCAGATGGGGCCAGGCGCAGTGGCTCATGCCTGTAATCCCAACACTCTCAGAGGCCAAGGTGGGCAGATCATGAGGTCAGAAGATCGAGATCATCCTTGCTAACACGGTGAAACCCCGTCTCTACTAAAAATACAAAAAAATTAGCGCCTATAGTCCCAGCTACTAGGGAGGCTGAGGCAGGAGAATGGCGTGAACTCGGGAGGCGGAGCTTGCAGTGAGCCGAGATCGAGCCACTGCTCTCCAGCCTGGGCGACAGAGCGAGACTCCGTCTCAAAAAGAAAAATAAATAGAATTTTAAAAAAAAGCAGATGATCATTCCATAAACAAAGAAACAAGATCACAATTTGAGACAAGTAAGATCTAATTTGTCACAATACAATCAATGGATTTCTTTCTCAAGTAGATTTTCCTATTAAAAAATAATTAATATTGGGAAAACCTCAAAAAGTGGATTTGTGAATTTAGAGGAGTATACAACTTAAATATTTCTTTTTTAAAAACATTTTTATTTTGGATTTAGGGGTACATGTGCATGTTGATTACATGGGTATATTGCATACTGGTGGGGACTGGGCTTCTAGTGTACCCCTTATCCAAGTAGTGAACATTGTACCAATAGTTAATTTTTCAACTTTCACACCCCCTTTCATTCTCCCCCACTTTTGGGGAAATTAAATTTCTGAAACTTTATCCTGTAGCTGGCTCTATGATTATAATGAACCATTACTGTTTCATTTAAATAAGCAAGTATCTATGTCCTTCTTTTAATAACTTGCTTTCCAGACATTTAATCATATTTAAACCTGGTCAGTTCAACTTTATAACTGCTGAAAAGCAGGTTTGGGTTTTGTGCTGGGGGGCCAGCTTTCCCTTCTGCTACCAGAGGACTCTCTTTTGCAGTAGTGAGGGAGGGAGTGTTTGCGGAGTCCAGCTCCTTACCACAGGCAGGGTTTACAGTCCTCTGCCATCCCTCCTAGACACATGGCTTTCAGAATTTTTCTAACCTACAGTAAGAAGCACATTTAACATTGTGGCGTAGTTCACAAACACACATACCTACACACACACACCTACACATTCACACACAAAATTAAAAGTTAACAAAACAATATTTACTGTGAACAACATATAATACATACTGATATTTTGTTCCATTTTAAAAATGCTCATGGCAAACTACTCAGTTGTACCACCTACTAATGTGATAGAGGGCCCAGTTTGAGATACACTTCCTTAGATGAGTGCTTCTCAAATTTTAGGTGCCTTCATCATGGGGTTCTGGTTGAAGTGCAGATTCTGGTTCAGTAGGCACTGGAGGAGGCCTGAAATGGTGCATTTCCAACGAGCTCCAAGGCAATGCTGCTGCTCCTGGTCTGCAGACCCCCTCTGGGGAGTGAGGAGCTAGACAGCAGTCTTGTAAATGTGAGTTTCTAAGCTAAAATCCAGGGGAACATAGTGTCGTCCAGCCTCCGTCTAATACACACTGATCCCACCCTGCAATTCATTGCAAGTGTGGAAAACCTTTTGTCTATTTGTTGTATACAGATGAACCACACACAGCCCCTTTCATGTAGGCAGTTACCTAGGAGGAGAGAGATGACAGATGCACAAACAGCTGCAGCATCAAGCAGAGTGTGGTAGGAGCCCAGAAGTTACAAATAAAAGACATTGGTAACTTCAATGTCAGAAGAGCAAGGGGAGGGGAAGTTAGGTTTGGTCAGTGGAACCAGGGAAAAGGTGAGGGGTAAGGGGCCAGTGATGCTATTGGACTAAATCTTGGTGTAGGAATTGTGCCTATGGAAGTGAACAGAGAAGAAGGCATTCCAGACAGACCAGTGTCAATAGAGATACAATGAAGAAATTCATGTCACTCAGGTGGCTTTCCAGTAAGCCTTATTGCTTGCTTTTTGTTTTTCTCCAAAATGCAGAAATAGGAATATATACATATTCATTCTTCAGTACTTGATAGTTGTGAAGATTCTTTTAAAAAGTTATAAAAGTCTATCTAAGATTTCAATTTCTAGAGTCATTCTAAGAGAGATGCTACTTTTCAGAAGCTGCTTGCGTGTATTGTGTATGTTTATGCGTACTTCTTTACATCTTTCTTCATCTTGAATTGAGAAACTGCTATAAAGATACTCTATTTTATGTAATTTGATCTGTTCTAATAAATTGGTCACCTACGAGATGCAAAGAAGCCAAATAGCCCTGAAATTTGACAAATGAAAATGGCCCTTTCAGTTGTCCAATTAAGCTAAGGGTTAGCTCTTTGATCTCATTTGGAGGGATATTAATAAGAACTTAGATCAACAGGTTTGCATGATGAAGATTGTCTTCTGTGATGTGTTGTCTTAGACAGACTTTTAAATCCTTAAAAGAATCTTCACAGCCATTGAGTCCTGAAAAATGAGAAACTTGAGTTATGAAAGTAATCAACATTTCATAGTATGCTGATGTTTTTTATAAAATTAAATATATGTAACTTCTCCCTTTAATAAACAAATTTCATTTTTTTTTTCAAATTAAAACCCTCAATACCTGCTACCTAAAAGGCACTCAACTGTGTATCAAATGAACAGGTAGAATTCAGAGTCTCCAGTCCACTATTAGATACATTCATTCCTGTTTATTCATGTTGATTTATTTTTTCCCTTTCAACAATTTCAATAGGGGAAAGCTGCTACAATTCCTCTTTTTAAATACTTTAGATATATTAAAAATATATTGGCCACTAGCCACGTCCTGGGTGCAGGGCTAAGCATCAGTTTGCTCGAGTGGTAGTAGTTCATTCCTTTGAAAAAGCATGCATCGTGAAGGCATACAACTTTAAAATGTTGTCATGATTCTCAACAAATGTTTGAGCACTCCATAGATTGTTGCATACCTAATAAAACAATACCTTACGTTTGTATAACATTTTACAACATAAAAAGTACTTTTGGTTGTATTATCTTGCTTTGTTCTTGAAACTCAGATAAATTTTTACTATACCCTCTTACAGATGAAGAAATTGAGGTGCAGAATTTATTCCCCTTGAATTGCAGCAATAAGTGCCTACAGAGTGATTTTCCATATTCTAAGAATATTGATACAGTTCTTAATCTCAGATTATGAAGTTGAATCTCAACGGTAGATCAGATTCGGAGAGAGCTTTAAAATGTGGGTTTAACATGAGTGAACACATGTGGCAAAGATAAAGAACTTGGTTAAGCCGTGGAGACAAGTTGTTCAGCACTCACTCTCTTTAGAAGCCGTCGGAAACAGTCCTGTTTTCTAGAGAGAGGGCACTATTCGTGGCGTTGCCCAGAACGTTACAGATTGTGGCTTATGTCCTCCACTCCTGCACTTGGCCAGTTTTCCCACTTCTCCAGCAAGCCAGCAGTGTGTCCTTGAGGAGCTGGCATTTATTTAATGGACCTTCATTTTCTTCTGCTTTTGGTGGTGGCCTCTAGATGGCATTATAATCAGAACACATACTTAGATACTGAAATGTTTGCCTGCACTGGAACTAGAGATTTATAAATCCCACAAATTCCCCATGGCGTGTCTGATCTGCTGTGTGTTTGCTGCCAGGAGCCATCTGTGTGTGAAAAGGAGGCCTTGCCCATCTCTGAGAGCTCCTTTAAGCTCCTCGGCTCCTCGGAGGACCTGTCCAGTGACTCGGAGAGTCATCTCCCAGAAGAGCCAGCTCCGCTGTCGCCCCAGCAGGCCTTCAGGAGGCGAGCAAATACCCTGAGTCACTTCCCCATGGAATGCCAGGAACCTCCACAACCTGCCCGGGGGTCCCCGGGGGTTTCGCAGAGGAAACTTATGAGGTATCACTCAGTGAGCACAGAGACGCCTCATGAACGAAAGTAAGATTTGTTTACATTTGTTGCATAAATAACTGGGGCATATCTGTGACTAGCCGGGTATGTGCATCCCAGGTATGTTTACTGAGTGAGAGAAACGAGTAAGGCTTTACTCTTGGTTCAAAGAGATAAAACTGGAAGCAGTGACATGTTTGTTCGAGCTGCTGGTGTGTATACAAGCAATGGATACATGCATTGTCAGGAAGCAGGTGAAAGTGAGCAAAAATGTTACCTGACATGCGCAGTCACTACTCCTCAAACAAAGTAAGAGACACTGCTGGCTGTGGAACTTTGCTGCTGTGAGGAAGAGGGCAAGCAGATGAGTCTCCCCATCCGAAGCCCTGGAGCAGGGCTACAGCGGGAGGGAGAGGCGGTGACCCCTACAGGCAGAGCAGGAGAGGTATGCTGACCTTATGGGGTGACAGGGGTGCCCCGGCTTCTGGTCCTAGCTCTACTGTGAACAATTGTGACGTGGACAAATTTGCTAAACTTCTCTGTATCACAAAATTGGAGTAGATATTTTCTAAAATCTCTCACTGTAAGAATTCTAGATTCTTCTAACAAGATTTATTCATTGTAACAGTTGGGTTTCAGTGACCAGTTAGAATCGTCTGGTTATGGAGAAGGGTACTCAGAAGTTCCCCCTGTTCCTTCCAAGTGTCCCTTAGTGATTCATTTGACTCTATGTGCCAGAGACTATGAATGGACACAGAGTTATCTTTAAAAACAACTTTAAGCAATTTAAAAAATCCCTCACCTAATATGAATCAGGGTCACACCTGTGTACAGTTGCTGCCTTCTTCTGACTGGCAGCCGCAGAAGTCCCAGGACCTGTGTGTTCATGTAGTTCATACATGAATCATTGAGAGTGTGCGTAGTACAGAAGTGTTTGGAATGTTCTGAGTAAAGAAGTGTGAGCATTAACAGCCCTGGATGATGGAGCAGAGCCTCCCAGCTTTGTTTTCTATCAGCCATTGGAAAGAGTTCTTGGTTGTTTGGAATTCAGTGGGGTAGTGGTGATCCCAAAAGCAGGGGACACATCAGAAGGTACTGCTTAATAAATACACGCTTTTAGAGACACGCATCATTGGGTTGTAGCCCTGTAAGTTTCTTGTGTTTAACACCCTGTCCACACACTACTTCTGTTCTGCCTCACCACTGCCTGCCCACTCCTCTGTTGTTGGCGTTTTCAGTGATCATTGAAACATTCCTGTCTGGAGAGTCCTAGTTCTCTTGTGAAGTCTGCTGTTTCTCAAAAGCCATAGTTGGTAGGACTCAGTATCAGTACTTTTCCTTTCTCCGTGAAGAATGTGGCTTCATAATAGATGATGTTACACATCCGTAATGAGAGGGATGGGGAGATGCCTGTCTGTCTGCCTCGCTAGCATGGCCCATTCTGCTTTCTTTCCCTCTTGTGAACTCTTTTCTGATTTATCTGCAGGAAATAAGACATTGAAATTCAGGACAGGATATTGTTCATTTTAAAGGGAAATGTATTTTTTTAAAGTTCAGATTTTTTTTTGCTTTTGTTTATACTTTAATTGAATTTTTTTTTTCCTGCCAGTTCCTGAAAAAGGAAATAGAGAAAGAAATACTATTGTTCCTGGGTGAAGTGGCTCACTCCTGTAATCCCAGACCTTTGGGAGGCTGAGGTGGGAGGTTGCTTGAGGCCAAGAGTTCAAGGTTACAGTCAGCTATGATCGTGCTACTGCACTGCAGCCTGGGTGACAGAGTGAGACCTATTTAAAAAAAAAAAAAAGTATTGCTGGGAGCATAAACACGTGGGAGATGGTCAAGAATGGCCGTCGATATACTCTGTTTTTTAGTGAAAACTACCTTTGCCAGAGAGCGAGCAGAGATGAGGAAGAGGAGTGGAAGAAGTCCTCCACTCTGACAGTGTTACTGGAACAACGAGACAAAAGCAGTTGTGCTCCTTCCATCTGTTTGCTCCGTGTCCCTGTCGGCGCCCCCTCTCCTGCTAACCCCCCCGTGCTTTCTCTGATTGCTGTTTAGTGTGGATCCTTCACCTGTGGGTGAGTCTAAGCACCGCCCAGGTCAGTCTTCAGCTCCTGCTCCTCCACCTCGTCTTAACCCCTCCGCCTCCTCGCCAAACTTTTTTAAGTACTTAAAACATAATTCCAGTGGAGAACAAAGTGGGAATGCTGTGCCAAAGAGGTGAGCTCACTCACGTGGCAAGTTTGGTGTTGTCTGTTTTCCTGGGGAGTTCACACTGATGAGGACATGCTGAATGGGGGGAATGTCCATGCAGGAAGCAGAGCCACTGTGTGTGTGTGTTTGTGTGTATGTGTGTGTGTGTCTGTGTGTCTTTGTTTATATTTGGTCTTATTTTCAGCTGTCATTTGAACCAAGTTAATTTTACTGTTGATTACTTTTCTTAAAATTATGAAAACAGATGTTAATGGCAAATTGGTTTGTGTTTGGGTTTGTTTTTGTTTTTGAGACAGGGTCTCACTCTGTTCCCCAGGCTGGAGTGCAGTGGTGTGATCTCGGCTCACTGCGGCTTCTGCCTCGTGGGTTCAAGCACTTCTTCTGCCTCAGCCTCCCGAGGAGCTGGGACTACAGGCACACGCCACCATGCCCAGCTAGTATTTTTATTTTTTTTTGTAGAGATGGGGTTTCACCATGTGGACCAGGTTGGTCTTGACCTCCTGACTTCAAGTGATCCGCCTGCCTCAGTCTCCCAAAAGTGCTGGGATTACAGGTGTGAGCTACTGTACCCTGCTGCAAATTGTTTTTTATATGCTTATTTTCACATTTCCTTGCCCTAGTGGACACTTAACATGCATGTGTATACACACACATGCACACACACACAGGTTAACATCTGTGTTTGATCATGTACACTGCCATTTGTGCTATATCAGAAACTTCCTGATTGATTTAGGAGAATTATTTTTCCCAGTTTGAAAGGAAGAGTCATTTGGAAAATGGATTGGTTTTCGTTTTTAAAAAATTATCCCATTCATTTAAAATCAAATTTTGTTGGTGAAAATGAAAGTTAAATCTCATTCGTGAACTACTTTTACTTTCTTATCTAGTTTACTTTTCTTAGCATTAGAACAAAAATGTTTATTTTGAAGCTTATATTTTATACTTTGTGTTTTTATGTTTCTTTATCCTAAACTCTTTTTTCAACCAAACTCTTAGCATCTCCTACCGTAATGCCCTGCGGAAAAAACTTCATTCTTCTTCCTCTGTGCCAAATTTTCTAAAATTTCTGGCTCCTGTAGATGAAAATAACACCTCTGACTTTATGAACACCAAAAGGTAGGGCTTAATTTAGATATATCAACCCTGGGTGTTATTAAGTGTTGAATATCATTAGATATACAAGGTGTTTTAACTACTGTTTTGTCATTTAAAAAATCATTTCAGCTAAATCTGTTGTATCTTCTTTCTTATACTTTTTTCTTACTGAATGTCATTTTAAAAAATGTGCAACCAACCTGTTCTTCAGTTTTGAGATTGAGGATTAGTTTATTTAAGTGTTATCTTAAGGAAAATCTTCGTCAAGTCTCTGAGACCAGTGTTTCTGGGTAGTGAGCATATGGCTGTTTCAAATCAGGATGTCTGATCTGTTCAGGACGTCTAATCTGTAAGTTGAGGGGATTGCTTAGTTACAGGTACACAACTTAGGTATAAATTAGAAGGGTCTTCTCAGGTTGTCCTGTGAATAGGAAAAAAATGTATGATTAGATTGTGTTTATATATTGATAACTATATTTTGTAGTTTAAAAAATATGCACATTAAAACATCATCATCATCATCAATTGACTGCATAGTTATTGCCTTGCTGGTTCTGTGTAATTAAATTGCAACTTGTTTCATTTTTTGTGGGAATCCTTGGAGACATGGGCCTGTGCTGAGCAGATATTCCCATGTACAGAGGACAGCAGAATGGGGCCCCTTGGCATTGCCCCCGCTTTTCCCCCTTTAGGCAGTTTCTCTTTTTCAAAGTGGCACCCAGAGAGGCCCAGTTGGAAGCTATGATATGTGGAACATGTTTCTTAATCTCTGTTACAATCGAAATCATCTAAGGGCATGTAATCGTTCTCTTTTTATGAAAAGAATTCTGTAAGAAAGCCGTTCTTTAGGACCCACTGTGAGCTTGATATAACTTCTGTGATTGTTTATACAAAGATAGTTGATAATTTAGTGCTTTGTTTAAAAAAACTGTTAAGCTAGCAAAATCTCGTGAATTCCTCCCCACTAGTCATAAATCAATCATCTTATAATTTTAGGGACTTTGAATCCAAAGCAAACCATCTTGGTGATTCTGGTGGGACCCCTGTGAAGACCCGGAGGCACTCCTGGAGGCAGCAGATATTCCTCCGAGTAGCCACCCCGCAGAAGGCGTGCGATGCTTCCAGCAGATACGAAGGTAAGGCCCGTACCTGAAATGAAACCTCAAAAAGAGCAGCAAACATCCAGCTGACAGAGGACCCTGGGAGCCCCATCATATTGGTAAGAAAGCAGGGCGCTGTCCTCTTCAGTATTGGCAGGTCTGAGGCAGTCACAAAGGTAACTAGGGAGGGAGTTTAGAGGTTACCCTACACTTCTTAGGGAAGGAATTTAGAGCTCATTTAGGATAACCTCTCCATAAACGGGCGCAGAGCTCTGATGTTGAGAGTGGTCACAGCGTTACCAGCGGTGAATCCGGACAGGTCTGCAGGAACCTAACTTCTTGCCTCCTAGGACATAAGGCAAAAGGAGAGACTCAGGCAAGTTTTAGAGCAGGAGTGAAAGTTTACTAAAAATATCAGAGCAGGAATGAAAGGACGTCAGGTACGCTTGGAAGATGGTCAGGTGGGCAGCTTGAGAGATCAAGTGTGTGATTTGGGCTTTTGACCTGGGGTTTTATATGTTGGCATACTGCCGGGGTCTTGCGTTCCTTCTCCCCTGATTCCTCCCTTGAGGTGGGCTGTCCCCATGTGCAGTGGCCTGCTAGCACTCGGGGGTTGCGGGGGAGCATGCGCAGGGTGTTTACTGGAGTTGTAGGCGTGCTTGCTTGAGGCGTTCTTCCCTGTCCAGTCTAGCATTCCTAGAGGAGCGCTATGCACCACTTAAACTCCGCCATTTTGCCTCTTAATGCGCATGCTCGAGCCCACCCGCCCAGCTCCCGAGATCTTACTGGGAAGCTGCTACTCACCAGTTTCAGGTGTTTTGCATCTACTGGGAGCCCGCCCCTCCCTCGTGCCGGCTGTAACCAGTTCTCACTTTAGAGAAACAGTTAACAAATGCTTGACCATCACCTGATGGTCCCCTGACATTGCTGGTGTGTATCTGGGAGGGGGCCTCTCCTGTCCTCCTCGTGTCTGACTAGCTACCCTGTAACCAAAGCGTTGGACTTCGGAGTCTGCATTCAAATCCCAGCTTTTCCCCTTAGGAGCTGTGAACCAGAACAGGCTGTCTAAAGTTACCACCTATAACCTGGGATTAATTATGCCTGTTGCCACACTGATTGAGACAAGGCAGCATGCTATCATTACTGATTCTTTTTTTTTCTTTTTTTGATGGAATCTTGCTGTGTCGCCCAGGCTGGAGTGCAGTGGCGGGATCTTGGCTCACTGCAAGCTCCACCTCCCGGTTCACGCCATTCTCCTGCCTCAGCCTCCCGAGTAGCTGGCACTACAGGCGCCCGCCACCTCGTCCGGCTAGTTTTTTGTATTTTTAGTAGAGACAGGGTTTCACCGTGCTAGCCAGGACAGTCTCGATCTTCTGACCTCTGATCCACCCGCCTCGGCCTCCCAAAGTGTACATTTTTTTAAAGCATTCAAAATGCATAGTACTGGAAAGAAAATCAGTGATGCGAACGTTTCCAGGGTAATGCCACCTCCCATGCTGTGGAGGTCCCTCTGGTGAGCCTGGCCCGTTGCTTCCCTTGCCTCAGCCCTTCCATGTGGAGGCACCATGGAGCTGCCACTCACCAGCACCTTTTTTCCCTCAAGTGGTTTGTACCTGTAAAGTATTCCTGCCGTGGGTGGCCACTCGGTGGACTTGCTGAGCCTGGCCAGGGTTTGATTTCTCTTGCTGCCAGCCTGAGCCGGATGGCTGCTTCTCTCTTCCCCTGCCCCGTGGAGAGGCCTGCTTGCTGCAGAGAAGGGCTCTTCTTCTCAGGTCCTGTAGCACCCTGTTAGAGGGTGTGGAGTGGGACAGTGGGAACCAGAGCCACCAGAGGGAGGCCCTGGAGGAGGAATGAAACTGATTCATGTCTGAAACTGTAGAACAGGGGTGCCGGAACCCGAGTTTCAGTGTTTAATAAAGAGTGCCTCTGTGTTGCAGTGGCCATACCTCACAGGGCGTGGTCACTTGGAAATTTCTGCTTGGAAATGCTTTGTGCAGTGGCCAGAATGTGTTAGGGGCCACGCATGACTGCTTGCTCCATCGCAGAACAGTTACAAGTTTCTAAACGAGCATTCATAGACTGAGCTGCATCCTGCCTCCCTGTCCTCTCATTCCTGACTTCTTCTCTGGTCTGTGAAGCCACACAGAATGTGTTTGCGTCTGTTTCCTGCCCTTCAGATGACGGAGGACCATGGAAGCTGCTGCTCCTTTAGCTCTCTTCTCCAGGGGAATTGCCCTCGTCACTGTTGGGGAACCCCTGGTCCAAGTCCTGTCCTCCGAAGAGCCTCTGCCCCTCGTGGAGTCCTGAGTTGAACTTGGTGTTCACTTGGCCTCTGGCTCTGGCAGTGTGTTGCTCCTTCCATTGACCTGCCACTGCTGTGTTAATGCAGATTGACCTTAATCTGTTTCTGCTTTAAGTGATTAACTCACTTTCTCGGCTCTTACTGTATCTTGTCCTTTGGGATATGAACCATTATTTAAATTTGGATTGATTCCTGGCTTGGCACGGTGGCCCATGCCTGTAATCTCAGTGCTTTGGGAGGCCAAGGCAGGAGGATCCCTGGAGGCCAGGAGTTTGAGGCCACCCTTGGCGACATAGTGAGACCCTGTCTCTACAAAAAATAAAAACTAGCTGAGCATGGTGTTGTGAAGCTGTAGTCCTAGCTACTTGGGAGACTGAGGCAGGAGGATTACTTGAGCCCAGGAGTTTGCAGTTACAGTGAGCTGTGATCACACCCCTGCACTCCAGCCTGGGTGACAGAATGAGACGCTATCTCTTGGTGCCGGGGGGAGTAATGTCTATACTTGAGAAGCTTTTTTTCCTCAAATAGTAGGTACCTATAAAGTATTAATCAGTTTTGAGCAGTCCTTTCGTGATTCTTTTGAGTCTTGATTCTGGTGACCAGTAAGTTGTATACATTTGCCTGTCAAGTGGATAAACATGGCCTTTGTGCCTTTAAGTAATGGCTAAAAGTACCAAACAGGACAGAGCCTGGCATAGGTGCTGCTCCTCCTGTTCCTAGGCCGTAATCACCCCTGATTCATCAGACCCCAAACAATTCAGCTCCTCACCGTCCTGTGCCCCACCACCCAATCTCCTACAAGAAGATGTCCTGGAGACCCCTGTCAGTGCTAGGCAGAGATCACCATCCATGTCCACCTTTCCTCTGATGCAGGCTCCCACCAGGCCCTCTGGCTTGTGCCATGCCATCCTTGAACTCACCCTCATGCCCGACCTGAGCCCTTGCACAGGCCGTTCCCTCTGCCTAGAATGCTCTTCCTCAGTATCCCCGTAGTTCCTTTCCTCCCCTTCCCTTGTATCGTGACTCTCCCATAGCACCTCTCTCCCCCTAACACATGTTCACAGGTTCATCTTCGTCACCCATCTCCGGCAGCTCCTGCAGGCTTGATGACTGCTAAAGACAGGCAAGTCAGTGGCTCAGATTCTTGCAAACTTAGTGATTTGTGATTTCTCAGCTCCCTTCTCATGCCTCCTCCGTCTCTATAGGCACATATTATTTCTTATCTCTTCTCGGAACCAAGAGGTGCTGGCTGAATTTCTGGATAACATTGTTTAAGTGTTCTGTGTATGCAAAGGGAAAACGAGAGAATAAAAGGATTATTAAGGAAGAATTAGTATAGTAATAGCCACATATTATGCTCTTTTTATACTCTGCTAAGTGCTTTACACGAATTACTTCCTTTAATTAGTCAACTTTATGAACGTCGACATTTTTATGAAACCCATTTTACAGGTGGGTGAGTGGAGGCTGGGAGTGGCTTAAATCACCTTCCCCAAACCAGGGAGTTAGTGGGAACCAGAGGCAGGACCTGAGCTCATGGGTCTGAGCTCCAAAGCTCGTGCTCTGAACCGCACACAGCATTGGGCTGCAGCCAGAGATGTAGGACCCTGCGGGACCCTCTGGAGGTGGTCCTGCCTGTGCTTCCCTCTTCCTACAGGAAGCTCCCTGTAGGCATCTGTGTTGGGTGTGGACTCTCAGTGTAGCCGCATGTCTGCCTGTTGGGCAGGCACCAACACTGAATGGAAAACATGTTTCTGGGCATTTTAATGTACGGACTTGACTTCAGTCAATCTCCCCCGCCCCCTTCCACCCTGACCGCCTCCCTAATAGTTAGCATTGGCACTGGAGTGTGGATGGCAACTGATTTCTGTCTGAGAGGACAAATCAGGCATCTTTGTCCTCTGCCACTGTCTGTTCCCCATCCTTAGGGTGTACAATGCCAGAGCCCTCCACTGTGGTCTGTGACCACTTTGACCCACGCCAGCAGGTCTCCATATGTTCCCTCCAGCTGAGAGACATCACATCCAAAAACAGTTTAGAGCTCTGAGGTTTCTTTCCCCAGAGGTCCCTGCTTTGTGCAAACTGTCTCCAGCTGAGTGTGCACAAGACTCTGTTCCTGCTTTGCCTGGGTGGCTGAGCCATGGGCAGCTGAGCCTGCAGCCGCTGGACTCACTGCATTCCCACTCTGACTTTGGCATGGGAGACACACAAGTGTGCTTGTGAGAAATAGATCTTAACAGTACCTTTTAACACCTATTTCAGGTGCTCAAAATGACTGCCTGTTTTACATTTATATTCTGGCAGTGCAAACTTCGATTGGACAGGAAGTCTTACAACCTTTCTTCCAGGTGAAAAAGTGAGGCAGGGATGTGTATACGGTTCCATCCAGGTCATCCCACTTGGAAGATACTAGTAAAACGAACCAACGGTAATATAAAAACCATGGTGTTTGCAATAGTGATAATGTTACTAGCAAAGGAAAAATAGAAATTTTCAGTAATTTGGAGATTATTATTTTTAATAGGTGGGCTAAAATAAAAAACCTGGAGAGAAGGGTGTTAAGTGAGTAAGGAGTGTGTCTCCAACTAAATATAGTGTAAAGAGAGAAGAAAATACAAAGTCAGGCACAGTGGATAGACGTGGATAGTCTCATCTCTAATAGTATAATGGACAAACTTGTCTCAAACAAAATTAGTCTGCCTCTTGTTTACTCAGGGATATGTGACTGTTTTCT